TTGGAATCGATGTCAACAAGATCAAGAAAACAAATCATTCTGCAAGGGCCACTGCTGTCTCAACTTTAGCCAAAACGGGAATTGGAGAACAGCAATTAATTAAAATAACAGGGCATGGTAGCAGCCACTTCATAAAACCATAACTGCAAATATATTCGGGCCACCATCAGGATATAATTGGCGCAATGTGGTCTGTTTCAACTTCTGCAAAGACAATTCAAGAATCTCTAAATCAAGAACAAACAACTACTTCCAATCAACCTGCCATAATTTAGAATAATTGCGTTTTTCATATAAAGAATAGGTACTTATAATAGTTAAAATAATATAAATAATTAGATTTATTATTATAGTATATACGAAGTCAATTGAAACAGTACGAAATATAGGGTGCAATAAATAAAGTGCATCACGCATTAATATGGTATACAGTAAAACAACGAAATAGGTATATGTTGACCTAGTCTCGTATAAGGATTAACTTAAAAACAATGCTTTTTATGTATTTTTTTAGGATTAACGTGGCCTTGATGCAGACTTAATTGTCATAAATTAGGCCGATGCTATTGGTCATTGTCATATTCTTATTGGTCGATTATTTCCCTAGTTACAAATGCATAATTTCGGCGAAATAATTTCGCACAAGTGGCACGAGACAGTGGTGTAGCATCGATTGTCGATATTAGGTTGCAATTATTATACAGGGATGGTAATGGGCTCTTAGGCCGTTTAATAAACAAAGATGCATGCTATATGAAACGTACGAATAAGTGAGATAAACGTATAAATAAGAGAGACAAACAACCATTGTTGAACGAATAGGATAACAAAATACTTATTTCTCCTCTGCCATAAGCGTGCAGTACAAGATTTTAAAACGATTAAATCAAAACAATTAAACTTCCGCCAATGTTTTACTTCCCCTCCTCTAATTAGAGCAGTTAACTGCTTTACAATCCCACCAAGATACATACACCTTAAGATAGGATGGTGCGCATGTTGGGCGGGGCTTAAATACGTCACTTGATGAGTGTTTTTAAATCTTTAACGTGCTATTTAATTATCTGCTGCTAAAATTCTTGTTTTTGCGATGCTGTTGGATGTTAACTTGCTATATTTTTTGTTTAACTTGCTGTTTTTGCTTTCGGTAAGGTTCGAATTACTTTTCAGCATATTTGGATGCAATTCAGACAACCAGTCCAAGAAAAACCCTTTAGGTAAATAAAACCATTAAATTTAATCGATTCCCGAAAAAGTTTGATTTGTGGAAACAGTGGTTAAATCGAGGGTTAAATGCCACAAAAAGAATAGACAATATTAACGTTAAGACCGCTTCTGTTTCCTATAAACATTTTCTGGACAGTGGCTATAAGTTTAATTTAAAACACCAACGCTTAAACTACAGCCCTAAATGTTATCAAGGACTAAAAGCATCTATTATCCTATGCATATTATAAACACTTTCTTCAATATTAAGTTTAATAAAAACGCACTATGTCCAGATATTTCTCTATGTTCTTTGATAATATTACTATTATTCGTGTATTCGTGCGCGGCATGAACCAAAACTCGTACACGGGAGCATCCAGCCCTGGCGCGGCGCGGTCTGGCCTGCCCCACCACTCTTACGTCACTCCACCACTCCCACGTCTCATAATTAGAGGTGGGCCGGTTTGCGATTTTTCAAGAGCTGCGATGCAATGCGACTGCTCCGGCCGGAACACTGTGACAAAAAGCAGCGATTTTTCGAAGCAATGCGATTTGCGATGCTCCAGAGCAGTTTTGTTTGAGCAGTGCCACTGTAAAAGCAAAACACTGGCGAAAGTGCGAAAGGCGAAGCAACTAGAGATAAGCGATATTTCACGAACTGTGATTTTTTCACTGATATTTAAAAATCACGAATAACGACTGCTACTTACATCTATTAATTAGCGTGATCTGTGATTTTTCACTTAGCGATATATGTTTGTTAAGTTTAAAAGGTTTTTTTGTACCAATTTTATACCAATAAGTTCAATCACATATTGATAAATACATGTGGAACAATTCCCCACACGGTCGCTGCTGAAGAGAGCAACAGCGACGGCCTGGTATAATTAAAATTTCGGAGCAATTTAAATTTTAAATTGCTCCGAAATGTCGCTGCGATTTTTACTACCGCGGAGCAGTTTGCGATTGCGACGCCACCGGAGCAGTGACAAAGTAGCAGTTTGCGAAATCGCAACACACCTCTACTCATAATGCATTTGTCTTTATTTATTAAACGTCCTAAGAGCACATTACCATCCCTGTATATTATTTTTATTATACATCTTCGTTATTTTTTATTGTATTTGTGTGTAGTTTTGAGTTTATATATTATTTTGTCTTTAAAATGGTAAACAGTAAAAACTGCGCACCTTAAAAATATTTTTAATAGTAATCATACGTTTATTTGTTCATTAGAAAATATTATAAAGACAATAAAAACACAATTACACTTAAAATCTATGAATACTTGTGCACATATAAAATATACACGTTGTAAGAAATATAATTAATTAAATTTAATGTCGTATCGCACGCCTATGGTCCACAAAGGAAATGCCGCAGATGTGTAAACTTTTAGGTTTTTATACTTGTAACCACTTATACTTAAATATTTAAATATCGGCCATTCCAAGCCCATGGACAGGACACATCAGAAACATGTCTAAATATATTCTTGTTACGTCCTTAAGTTTACTTATTTTTTCTACGAGTATTTATGAGAAGTATTAGCCAAATTTGGCTAATACTTCTCATAAATACTCGTAGAAAAAATAAGTAAACTTAAGGAAGTAACAAGAATATATTTAGACATGTTTCTGATGTGTCCTGTCCATGGGCTTGGAATGGCCGATATTAAATTCTTAGCCTATAAACTGTTGATTTCTACTAATTGCAGTAGCTCAAAAGTGCCATTTTAGGACCTAAAATATTATATTCTTTCATTTTATAGTTACTTGGGCTTAGTACAAGTGGTAGAAAATCATAATTTAAAAGGTTTTTCGGAACGCTGCATGAAGAGATTTACAGCGCGTCACGGTTTTGGCAGCAATTTAGACCTTTAAATTGTTCATTTCTACTCGTTGTAGTTGCACGAATACCATCTCAAACACAACACAGTATATTCTTTAATTTTACATAAGTTTTGAGTAACTAGAAGTGGTAGAAAATTGCTTTTTTGCGTTTTTATTAACTTTTCATACGCGCTTTATTGGTATGGAATTCATAACCAGCGTGCAGCGTCAGCAAGCATCAATCATTGGAGGCTGTGATCATCCTATTTTGACAGTTCAAAACATCAGAAAAACTCGCGTTTTGTTGTAATAAAGAAAATTGTGCAGCCAGTAAAACCAACAAAATTTTTTGTTTTAAAATTAAATCTTTGAAAATCATACTATATATATATATATATATGTAAAATATGCTTGAAATTGTCTGATTTTTTATTATTATTTATTTACCCGCATTAATAGAGGATTGTGGCTCCTACTTGAAGAAAGAAAATTTGTTTCTAATTGTTCACGAATATTTACATCTAAACTATTCAAAATTTAAAGTGCTAAATAAAAAATCTTTGAAAATCATACTATATGCAAAATATGCTTGAAATTGTCTGATTTTTTATTATTATTTATTTACCCGCATTAATAGAGGATTGTGGCTCCTACTTGAAGAAAGAAAATTTGTTTCGAATTGTTCACGAATATTTGAATCTAAGCTATTTAAAATTTAAAGTGCTAAATGGAAAAAAAGGTGAATAGAATAGTGTCTAAATATTATATATATTTCATTAGGCATAGACATTTAATTCATTCCATTCCAAGTCCTGCATTTTCGCCATTATAAGAAGAAAGGAGGTGTCCAAAGAATATAGAAAACATCTTAGCTTTGTTAAATACACGTTTTGATTGGTTAACAATTACAGGTGTGGAATTTTCTCACTAAATATAACTCGTGGTATGATTTTTACTCATTGAAACCAAAGAAGCACATTTCACTCGTCCTGCGGAACGAATCTGCAGCTCGGTTTCAATTCGAAAATATCATCGATGATAATCATACCACTTGTTATGGGTGACAATTACATACCTATTGCAAACATCGATGTTAAAACATTGAACATCGATACCAAAACATCGATGTTGAATGAACATCGATATACTCGTATATCGCTTAGTGGCGGGCATACGACGAATAACGAATACCTACGTGGCGTCTTATTCATTCATTCGTCATTTGTAGCATTTGTAATAATTTAAGTTAAATAAAATTTGTTGTGATCACACCACTTCAAAATTATTTATTTGAATTTTCTAGTGGTAAGTGAATATTTTTTACTAATAGTTTTCATTAATGGATAATAATTAAAAAATACTTTATTGTTGTGAATATGTTTGGTATCAGCGGCTGAACAGCATTATTTCTATAATATAATAATTCTATAAGACATTTCATTAGGTGCAGGCACGACTAGGAAATGTTTTAATCCAAAAGAGTGGGGCGGGAAAAAAGTCTAAGGAGATTGGAGCATGTGATAACCTCAGGACCATCATCACTTGTTGACATCATTTCATGCTCGGTTTTAAATGTTCTGCAGTGTGCGGAAAATCATGTTTAAACGTAGCCAAGATTGGCAATATTATAAAATTTTATTTTTTAAATTTTATTATGCAGAGATATTCACTAAAAACTGAAATAATGTTTCTTTTTTATTAATTGTCAGGTGGTGCAAATTTGGTTTAAAGCTTTTTATAAACTTGACAATGCCTCAGCAGGCAAGGCCAGGTCCTTTTTCACGACGGTTTGACACAAACAAGTAAATTTTTTTATTTTATACGATGCGTTAATTAACAGAAACACGTTTTAGACTTCTACACGAAAATTTTATTTGAAGGGCACAAGGCCGTTTAAAAAAATTGCTTCTTAATAAGAAATATTGCTTACTAACTCTATTCGTTTATATTTATTTTCAGAGGAATGTATATAAATGATAGAAGAAAGGAAGGAAGCGTAGCTCAAGAACAGCAAACGTCAAAAGAAAAAGCGATGCAAATGGAGGAATTACAAGTAACTCATATATAAAGTGTCCCTTTATAAACATAGCCATATCTACAGGCATAGTTAATATTTTTATATTGTTGTATAGTTATAGCCTATAACTTATAGGTTAAGGGTTAAAGTAATAAAGGGACGGATCCAGAAAAAAATCTTGTGGGGGAATTCATTTTTACCTAAATCTTGAGATAATGTTATATGGATACAGAGATGGGAAAGTTACTTCTGAAAAGTATCTAGTTACTTTTCTAAGATACTTTAAACAAAATAACTTAGTTACCTCGGGTAACTAGAATGTTACTAGATTTTACTAGATACTTTAAGTTAAAAGTATCTTTAGTTACAAGATACTTTAGAAAGTATCTAAGATTCTAAGATACTTTTGAGTAACTATGTTACTTTTAAGCATGAATAAAATCTATAAAATTATGAAAATTCAACAAGTTGTAGGTTAGGTAATTACTTTGAATCATTCTGGACTTCCCCCAATTTTCTCTAAGAAAGTATAACTGAAAAGTATCTAAGTTACTTTAAAAAGTATCTTAGTTACTAGTCACTTTAAAGTAATTAAATTACTTGAATGGATCTTAGTCACTTTACCGGGTAACTTTTTTAGATACAAGTTAGAAGATACTTTTCCAAAGTAACTAAGTTCGAGATACTTTCTGTCCAATATAAAAAGTATCTAAGTTACTTTTAAGTATCTTTTTTTCAAGATACTCCCAGCTCTGTTTGGATACTAATACTAATTCAGGGTACAGTTTATTTTTTTATTCAACACCCATTTCATTTCTTAACATTAACTGGTGGGCGGCAGCATTTCAGAAAAAAAGTGAGATTAAAACTGCTTCACATCATATAAAATATCAAATAAAATTGGCTTTAAATTATGTGCGACTATTGGTCAAAAGAGGAGATTCCACTCGCTACGGTCGTGCGACAAACTCCACGCTCGAGGAATCTCCTCTTTCTCCCACTAGTCGCACAATATACTTTTGTTTTTATGTTTTTTCTGATATCCTGGGCCAACTTTTCTAATTTGATTTAATTCGCATTTTTTTCTCAGTACTTAAGCTGGGGATTCCCCCATTTCCCCCTGGACCCTTCTTAACCTTCTTAAATATTATAGGTTTATCGATTTATAAATACTTAATTTAATAAAACAACGTTATGTATAACAATTTTTTATTTCATAAAAATATACTATTTTAATAGGTTTAAACCTTTTACAATAAAAAATCAACAATTGGTTTCCGGATTTAAAACTTATAGGTAGGTATTTTCTTAGATTCATTTGCTGATTTTGTAGGTAATTGGATTTTATTCTTTATCAGCAACTTAATAAACTTCTCATTATATATACTGGGCAGATTTACTTCATTTTTTGAGGCCCATTGAATAATTTCCAAACAATTTCTTGAATCACCAACTTGAACTAAAAAAGAATGAGCTAATGCAGGGCCGTGTGCAGGATTTATTTTTGGATTTTTTGAACTTTTTAACCCTTTGGCGCCCTTTAGCCATACTCAAACTGCGGCGGGGCGTGAGTTAATCTTGTGTTATTTAAAATCTCTGGCACTTACAACCCGCCGCTATGAAACAACTTGCTGCATTGGCATTTGACAACGCAAAGTTATTGAATAAATTTATTGACCGAATCAAATTTGAAAGTAATTTTTAAATAAAAAAAAGAAGTAAAAGGTTGGGAAGAATTTTGGAAATTAGTAGGCACCGGGTACCTCGGGTATGATTTTTGAGATTATCATTTTTTTGGTAGATGGGTAAACAAAATGTCCAGATGGAATTTACATGGCTTTTAATTTTTAAAGTCAAGCATCACTACACAAAATTTAATTTTTGGATGCATAGCATAGCCTATGATAGAGTTGCCAGATTAGGGAATTTTTCCCTATTTATGGGGATTTTTTTGGAGAATGGGGAAAAAGGGAATTATTATTTATTTAAGTATAGGGAATTTTCTTACCGGGTAGGTATGAAGTTTTAATAAAAAGTCATGTTATAAACTAAATAACTATTGTTATATTTTAGTTGATTTCTTATGTAACTATTGTTGCGAGGGTGCATATGTGTATACTACGGCATCTCACATACGAGGTGTGTTAAGAAAATAAAGTGAAAGGAAATGGATCAAAGAATTTGTATCTAATTTTGCTTAAAAAATGAAATAAATTCTGTGAAATGTTAACAAAGGCCTATAATGAGTCTGCTATAAGTAAAACAAGAGTTTACAAGTGGTATAAGAGTTTCCAAGATGGCCGTGAAGACGTTGAAGATGACGAACGCCCCGAACGCACAAGCACATTAACAACCGATAAAAACAAGGAAAAAATGGAAGAAATGGTTATAAACCATCAGAGAAGTCGCTGATGATGTTGGTATATCGATTGGCTCATCCCATAAAAATTTTTCGAAGGTTTTGGGTATAAAACGCGTGGCAGCAAAATTTGTTGTTAAAACTTTGAACAGAATTTTTGGCCAAAACAATACTGTAATGATGCCCCAGCCTCCATATTCGCCAGACATGCCTCTGTCTGACTTTTTCCTATTTCCAAAAATAAAGAGAACCTTAAAAGGCCGTCGTTTTACAAGCATAGATGACATTAAAAGCGCATCGCTGAAAGAACTAAAGGCTATCCCAAAGATAGAGTTTTAGAAGTGTTTCGAGTATTGGAAGAAGAGCTGGCACATGTGCATAATATCCAATAGGGACTATTTTGAAGGCGACAATATTAATGTAGACGAATATATAAATATTTGTTTCAAAAAACGAAAATTCCCGATTTTTTCTGAACACACCTCGTATATCGGCAACTGGGAATACTCAAACTTTGAATTGAAGACCGGCAACATGGAGCCTATACAAGGAGGCCGAACTTAATAGTGGAAATTTACAAAACCTGTACTCTAAATTGCACAAATTAAGTATTTTTTTTCACCACCAGCGGCGCTGGCGTCTGCTGTTTTGGTGGCGTTTTGGTACTAATCAAACAATTGTTTATTAATAACGGAACACTAGCGCCCTCTTATCTTGGAAAGATTTTTTTATACATGAAGTTCGGACTCCTTGTGTAGGCTCCATGACCGGCAAGCATAAAAATCCTAACCTCTCTTTCCTTGTCAAAAATCACAAAACAAACATTTAGGAGTTTAGGAAGTTGTGTAACGTTTGAAACAAATGAGTAGCGACGAATCAGATTCTGACAATGATATGTAGGTATATAAAACCTATGTTTTGCACAATTATCTCAAAATGATTTTAGACAAAGTCAATCTACTTCTAAGACAAAAAAGAGAAGAAAATAAAAGAATATTTCAATTAAAAAATTTCGAGTTGAATAGACGCATGTTCCGGATTTTAAAGGTTTTCCTTGATTAAGGAATTATTGTATTATTAAGGATTTTATCAAAAAAATATGTTTTCACCACCCCACTTTAAAAAATCTGACAAAAAGTTAAATTAGTTAAAAAGTTTGAATTTTAAATTCTCAACGCCAACGACTTTATAAGTGGTGTTGTACGAGGCCAGCGCCAGCGTCAACGCCAAGTTTATAAATCGTGCTTTAAAACTCTTTAACTAGCATAGGGTAGAGACCATGATAAAGACCTTGTATATTTTTGAAGAAAAAAAACGTTAAAATATATAGGGACTCCAGCATATGGAAATGAATAGGCAAATTCATAATAGCAATGGGGAATTATAGGGAATTTTTTACCCATCTGGCAACACTGAGCATAGGTCTCTTTTTTTCGGATTGCGCCACACATGCAAAAAATGAGTACAGATGTCGGCTAACTGATTCACACCTTGACGACGTGTTTAGAGTAGCATGTAGCCGTATTTAAGGGGTTACATATATTTGAGCTGGGTCAAAAAATCGATATTTTTAAAATAATATTCTTACAACATATCCTTTTAAGAATATGTACTCAAAATTTTATCAAGGTCGGAGCACTAAAACTTATTTTATAGCAATTTAAAGCGCGCTACCTCACGAACATTTAAAGGCAAATTTAATGAACGCCTTTATCTTGGAATCGTATTTTTTGAAAAGTGCTGTTGCCGTGAGCACGATTTCTCAAAAACCAATTCACCGGTTGATATGAAATTTGGAAGTGTTGTTCCTAATTACCTACAATAGCTCCTTCGTGAACGAAGGGATTTTCATTTGGACGAAAATTTCTATTTTTTTCGACCGGAAAACTCAATTTTTGTACCCTAGAAAATCGATTATTTTTTGCAAAACACTTCGTTCACGAAGGGAGTGATACTATGTATTAATATGGTTTTTTTCATCAAGATCTACTGGGCGGTTTTCTTGCTCATCGCAAACGCATGAAAAAAAAGGGCGTTTCGGGGCAAGGGCCGTATTTTCCACAATTTTGCATATTTTCGCATACAATTTTTTTCACAAATACTTCGAAACATACCCTATTCGATGCTTTATAGTTTGTTTTAATATAATTATTATTATACTATGTACAACTTTTTTTTTGATAAACTATCACTGGTCCTTTATTATATAGCATTAAATTATCTACAAAAAATCTTACAGAGTCTAAAGATTTAACTCTTTCTTTTTTATAAACGTTGAAACGTATAAATTCTAAAATAAATGATAGTATACTATAGTGATTGATAGGACCAATTTTTTGCGTTATTCGTTATCTTTTCCGTTTCTGCTATTACAACGAATTTCTTAATAATTATTATAATAAACTTGGTTCATGTTATTATTTTTATTATAGTAGAAATTGTGTTCTTTTCTTTAATTTAACCCACAATTAAGTAGGTAAACAATTATATTTTTGCATTGGTTAGGTACATTGTTACATCTTTCGATTCTAAAACCTAAATGTCAATTGAAGATGGTTTTGGAGCGGAAACATAATATGTAATGCAAAAATAACGTCTTAGCGTGGTTTATTAATTAAATAAAATGGTGATATATCACTATAGTCAGGTAATTTTGTAAAAGCTTTTTTATTGAACAGCTTATTTTATATTTTATGACTTTATTTTATATTTAGGTAGGTACCTACCTTATTTAGTGGGTAAAGACTAATTGTCTATTTAACCACTTGACTGGTATACACCACTAGGCATTACAAAGTTTGAAGTTATTATTTTATTGTTATACCTAGTTTTGAGAAAAACCGATGATTTTTAATAATAGACTGAGTACTCGACACTCGAGCGATTTCAATAATCGAGCGATCGCTCGAGCGATTTATCACTCTAAATTCTGATTCAAATAATAAATGCATTCGAATAAATATCATGAATATTCGGGTAAATCGCTTGTAGCTTGCGTCACTCGCAATATAATAGAACGATTTTTCAATTGTTTCGGTGTCGCTAATAAAGCAGTAGGCAAGCACACTGCAAATGAAAAAATATTGGCCGGACCTGAATATGGTTCTATTCAAGATTTGATCTTTTAAATTCGCAGCTTATGTGTCCGAATACTTTGCTGCTCTTATAAGGGTTTTTCAATAGAGGTGATATGTTTTTAAATCGAGAGTGTGGCCGTATTTGAAATGTCAAAATCTTCTGTCACTGTCAAGTGTTGATAAAGACCCAAATTTATAAATTCCAAGACGTAATTTGGACTTGCATCCTTACAAAATTGTTATGACGCAAGAATGGTCTATGCTAATAAACCACCAACAATTGAGGCATTAAAATTAAATACTGAACAACAAATTCGACTAAATTATTAAATAAAGTGATCGAAAATTGGACTCAGCTCTGTAGGAGAATCAGAGGCGGCCATTTGAATGATATATACTAAGAAGATTATATTCAGGAGCTTCAACTCCATATAAATTCGAGGAGTGGGGGGTCCACAAGAATGTCGCACGTGTACAATGCCCGAGAACGCAAAATTGAGTTCTGCTCATCTCCCCTCCTATCATTTGCAGAGATAAAGAAGGTATCTTTTTAACCTCTATTATTTTGTGTATTTGTAAAGCGTCAAACCAATGTTCTTTTTCTATGATGTTTACCTTTACCAATTTCGTAAATAAGAAGATTATAATGTAATTATATTATAATAAAATCTTAGTAGTAAACAGAATAGTTTGTTAAAACAGTAAGTAAATTTATGAATTAATCAGTATTAATCAGTATTATAATAATGTTAATTTGGTCATCAGTAAGGCCCGGATTTTTAGGTCAAAAAGTGATAAAAGGTTCCTAAATTAGGTGATATTTTTAATAAAATAGGTATTTTAGGTACCTATATTTTATGTACTTAACACATACATAAAATATAGGTACCTAAAATACCTATTTTATTAAACATATTACCTAATTTAGGAACCTTTTATCACTTTTTGACCTAAAAATCCGGGCCTTAGTCATCAGCACGGTCTTATATACAGGTCTTGCAACTTCGCCCAATTTCAATAGGA